ACTAGTTGACATAAATAATGATTTATTTATCTTAAACTGTCTAAGATCAACTGTTGATTTTGAGTGTGTATTAGATTATATTGGAAGTAAAATACTCATTTTGTGTATATTTTTTCTATCAAGGACCAGTCTGCTTCGGAGAGTATTTTGTAACTATTGCATATATTCTTTTAAAAAAAATCCCTGCTTTTGCTGAAGAAACGAAGCAAGGGAAAAAAGTGTTCATATATATTAGCTTTAGAATGAAGTCTTATAGTGTGTTTGGATGAGAAATTTTACAAATTTAAGGAATTTTAAATTCTTGGTATTTGAATTACTTTGATTTCAATTTCTATTATTCTTAAAATATTTTGTTTGGATGAGTCAATTCAAATTTCTTAAATTTTAAATTGTTAAGTTGAATATGATAATTTGATTCCATCATGGTAAAATTGATTTTAAAAATATATTTATATGTTGAGATTTTTAAATTAAATTTTATAAAAATAAATATTAATCCATTTTTAAATATTTAATAATTTTAAAAATTATTAGATCATATTTAATAATTTTAAAAATTAATATAAAATAATATTTAATAATTTTAAAAACATTTTTGAATATTTAATAATTAAAAGAATGAAGAGATAAGATAAAATATATAGGTGAAATAAGAAAAACATATATGAGGAATTTTAAATTCTCCCATTTTTGGGAGAATTTGAAATTCTACTATTTAAAAGAATTTCACAAATGCTTGGATTTCAAATTCTTTGTAAATTCCTCATCCAAACAAAACATTTCACCTCAAGGAATTTGAAATTCTTCAAATAAATAAATTATCCTATATAAATTTCTCATCCAAACACACTATTAAAATAAGCCCAACTTGACTACACCCAAAGCAAAAGGTAAAGAATCTTTCCAACAAAAAAAAAGTAAAAATCCAAAGCCACAATTAGAGGCTTTTATTATTCTTTACTGCCTGTGCTAGCTGTAAAGTTAGGAATAATGGTCTCACCAGACACGGTTCAGTGGAAAAACAAAGTGTGTTCATATTAGCCTTATCATAAAATATTAAACTTATAAATTTAAATATTTTTTTGATTTTTCTTGCGGATTAAAATTAGTAGGAAAATCTGTAGGAAAAGTTACTTGCAAAAATTTTCTACCATTTAGTAAACATTACTTGCGAATTTAGTTTTGCAAGAAAATCTGCAAGAAACAAAATAAAATTCTTACAAGATTTTCTGCAAATTTTTACTATGAAATTTTTTTTATGATCATTAAAATTATAGCGAAATTTGCAAAAATTTCTTGTAAATTATTTTTCATAACAAAATTGTAAGAAATATCTGTAAATTATTTTTTGCAAATAAATTCGTAAAAAAATTTGTGAAATTATTATTTTAAGAAAATTTGTAAAAAATTTCTGTAAATATTTTTTTTAGGAAAATTAAAAAAAAAAACATTTTTCTAGTAGTGAATTATCTTATTCTCTTTGGCGGAGAAAACAGGGCAATAAAAAACTAAAATGTGTTGAAATTAACTTTGTGATAAAGTGGAAAACTGAAGCCAACTTCACTGCACCGGAAGCAACATGGATGTCATGGAAAACTGAAAATTATTGCAACTTAATTTCTTCCGAATTAGGGGCTTTTATTTTAATTACATTGTCTTCCTTCAAATATTACCACAGCATCAACATCACTACCACACTTTCTTTGAATCCTGAAACAGTAATTGTTCTTGCTTTACACCTTGGCAGTAATACTAATTAATGCAAATCATTGCATTTGCCAATAATTTCAATTGCTTCTGGTTACATAATGAAGAGGAGAAACTAGATAACCATAATTATTGTAACAAGAATACTTTTTGGCAAATCAATAACAACAGTCTAGAATGCCCAGAGCACAAGACACATTTCAGTGGAAAAATAGTGTTTTCATACTAGCTTTATGATAAAGTAAAAATATGAGGACCCAACTTGGACTTCATGCCATAGTGACAATTGCAACTTAATTTCGTCTGAATCTGAGTGCAAAGTGTGAGAAACTTGGTAGAACCTGCCAAGAAGAATTTCTCTTGTTTGCAAGAGATATTCGCCTAAATACATAATCAACCAACTTCATTTAACCCTCAAACCTTCTATTTCTTCACTGTCCACCCTTTATTTGTATCCAGAGTCACCTGTTCTTGCTTTTGCATTCGCATCTTTACACAAATTCTAATACACATCTTTCATTCTCTACAGGTTTGAGAATTGCAATGGCTTCCAATGCCATCATCGAATGCAGCTCCTCTTCATCTCATCCGATGAGGACATATGATGTGTTTGTGAGCTTCCGTGGTGAAGACACACGCAACAACTTCACTTCTTTTCTCTGTCGTGATCTCAGTAGAAATGGCATTGAGGCCTTCAAAGATGATACACATCTCCCCAAAGGTGAATCCATAGCACCCGAGTTACTACAAGCCATTGAAGGGTCTCGCATTTTCATTGTGGTCTTCTCCAACAACTATGCTTCCTCCACTTGGTGCTTGCGTGAATTAGCACACATATGCAATTGCATTCAAACTTCACAGAGGCCTGTCCTTCCTATATTTTATGATGTTGATCCTTCAGAGGTTCGAAAACAAAGCGGATTTTATGAAAAAGCCTTTTCCAAACATGAAGATAAAGAGAAGACCGAGGAAGTTCAGAGATGGAGAGAAGCTCTCACACGAGTGTCCAATCTCTCTGGCTGGGATATCCGAAACAAGTAAATAATCTTCTCTCATTTCATGATGTTGGATCTTAATTTATTACCTATACACACCCTACCTTATATGCATGTGCATATATTCACCATTACATTATCACTTGGTTTTCTTGTTTTTACTAACCCTTTCTAAAATAAGGTTGAGTAGGTAACATGTAGATTGGGTATAAACAAATACGTGTTAAATGTAATTAGCATTTATAAAGGGAAGAAGAACTCTGATATTTTCATTTCCTCTATTTGGTTCTCAATGTATTAATTTGACATTCTTCATTTTTTTTCAAATTTCAGGCCACAATATGTAGTGATTGAAGAAATTATTCAAAAGATAAAAAATATTCTGGGTCATAAATTTTCATGTCTTTCAAAAGATAATTTAGTTGGGATGGAATCTCGTGTTAAACAATTATTAAAGATATTGTGTTTGGAGTCAATTAATGATGTTCGAGTTATTGGAGTTACTGGGATGGGCGGAATAGGAAAAACAACTCTTGCTCAATCTGTATATGAAAGAATCTCTCATCAATATGATTTTTGTTGTTTTATTGATGTGAGAAAAATTTATCAAGATTCTAGCACTATAGGTGTACGAAAAAGAGATACTTTCTCAATGTTTAAAAGAAAAGAATCTTGAGATTTGCAATGTTTCTCATGGAACATATTTAGTATGGACAAGGTTACTGCATGCAAGGGCACTTATTGTTCTAGATAATGTTAATCAAGATAGGCAACTAAATATGTTTACAGGGAATAGGGAGACTCTATTACATGAATGCCTAGGTGGAGGGAGTAGAATTATCATAATTTCTAGGGATGAACATATACTGAGAACACATGGAGCAAATGATGTTTATCAAGTCAAACCGTTAAATGACGAAGATGCTATTCAATTATTTTACAAATATGCTTTCAAAGGTAATGATATTATGAGTGATTATAAAAACTTGACAAATGATGCACTATCACATGTTCAAGGCCATCCTTTGGCAATTCAAGTATTGGGCTCATCTTTGTTTGGTAGAAATATCTCACAGTGGAAAAGTGCATTGGCTAGGCTTGGAGAAAATAAAAGTGCAAATGTTATGGATGTCATGCGATTAAGTTTTGATGACTTGAATAACCTAGACAAGGAGATATTTCTAGATATTGCTTGCTTTTTAAATAAGTTTAAAGAGAAACGTGTGATGGAGATTCTAGATCTTCAAGGTACCAGATCTTGGGGAGGCCTTCAATCTTAGGTTGTTGAATTTGAGTGGATGCGAAAAATTGAGGCAGCTTCATCCATCCATTGGTCTTCTAAGAAAGTTGACTTTTTTGAATTTAGAAAAATGTACAAGTCTTATCAAGATAATACAATTAAGAGAGAACCTAAATCTTGAAAGACTAAATCTTCGAGGATGTATACAACTCAAGGAGTTTAATATATCCATTGGTTTTATGCAAAAGCTTACCCGTTTAGATTTGAGTGGGTGTGAAAATCTAGTAAGCTTAACCGATAGCATATTGTGCCTAAATTCTCTAGAATATTTGAATCTCTCTCTGGCTGTCAAAAATTGTTTAATATATCAAGGAATGAAGAGCAAATGAAGAAGCTTTGTATAGATGAATCTCCGATTTGTTCGCACTCAACATCGTCCATCATGAAAAGGTGGTTTATGTCACCTTTACATTTGTTGCATTCTAGAGCACGTACAGGTTCAGTTTTAAATGGTTTGGTTTGGTTCGGTTTTTTTGCACACCCCTACCTACACTTGCTTGTATGCTTGAACTTCATCTAAAGAATGCCTAGGTGGAGGGAGTAGAATTATCATAATTTCTAGGGATGAACATATACTGAGAACACATGGAGCAAATGATGTTTATCAAGTCAAACCGTTAAATGACGAAGATGCTATTCAATTATTTTACAAATATGCTTTCAAAGGTAATGATATTATGAGTGATTATAAAAACTTGACAAATGATGCACTATCACATGTTCAAGGCCATCCTTTGGCAATTCAAGTATTGGGCTCATCTTTGTTTGGTAGAAATATCTCACAGTGGAAAAGTGCATTGGCTAGGCTTGGAGAAAATAAAAGTGCAAATGTTATGGATGTCATGCGATTAAGTTTTGATGACTTGAATAACCTAGACAAGGAGATATTTCTAGATATTGCTTGCTTTTTAAATAAGTTTAAAGAGAAACGTGTGATGGAGATTCTAGATCTTCAAGGTACCAGATCTTGGGGAGGCCTTCAATCTTAGGTTGTTGAATTTGAGTGGATGCGAAAAATTGAGGCAGCTTCATCCATCCATTGGTCTTCTAAGAAAGTTGACTTTTTTGAATTTAGAAAAATGTACAAGTCTTATCAAGATAATACAATTAAGAGAGAACCTAAATCTTGAAAGACTAAATCTTCGAGGATGTATACAACTCAAGGAGTTTAATATATCCATTGGTTTTATGCAAAAGCTTACCCGTTTAGATTTGAGTGGGTGTGAAAATCTAGTAAGCTTAACCGATAGCATATTGTGCCTAAATTCTCTAGAATATTTGAATCTCTCTCTGGCTGTCAAAAATTGTTTAATATATCAAGGAATGAAGAGCAAATGAAGAAGCTTTGTATAGATGAATCTCCGATTTGTTCGCACTCAACATCGTCCATCATGAAAAGGTGGTTTATGTCACCTTTACATTTGTTGCATTCTAGAGCACGTACAGGTTCAGTTTTAAATGGTTTGGTTTGGTTCGGTTTTTTTGCACACCCCTACCTACACTTGCTTGTATGCTTGAACTTCATCTAAATTTCTGCAATTTAGTTGAAATACCTGATGCTATTGGAAATTTACATTTCTTAGAAATCCTAAATTTAATGGGAAACAATTTTTCCACACTGCCTAGCCTCAAGGAGCTTTCCAAGCTGCAACTTTTAAATTTAAAGGACTGTAGGCAGTTGAAATATTTGCCTAATCTTCCTTCACGAACTGACTTGTCATCTAAAAGGTCGCTCCCAGAGTCTTTTTCTAGCAAAAAAGACCCATGGGCATTTGAGAGATTTTACGACTACATGGAAGCAGGATTAAATACTTTTGGTTGTCCAGAATTAATTGAATTGGAACGTTGCACTAGCACGGCTTTATCATGGACGCTACAAATTCTACTTCAGGTGTGTCCACTCCTTTCTTTATTTCTCTCTTTTTCTTTGTGTGTGTGTGTGTGTGGGAACCAGGCACTAACACGTAGCTCTGTCTGTGGTACTAGGTTCACTACCAATACATACTTCCGTCTCTGTGGAACATTCCTTTTCCTAGCATCATTTCAAGTATTATTGGAGGAAGTGAAATACCTAGTTGGTTCAACAATCATCGCGAAGGCATGGGCAGTATAATAACCATAGATGAATCTCCCCTTATGCACAAAGGCAATAATTGCATTGCTCTTGCTTGTTGTGTAGTATTTGGACCTCCTGCTTCTCGAAGAAAAGCTCCTCCAATTATACACTCACTTAATCATGTTTCTGTTCCCTTTCTTTGCGCTGAAGATCGAATTACGGAAGATCACTTGTGGTGGTTCTATGTTACAAGTGGAAGCCATATTTGGTCAACCAAGTATGAAAATTTGAAATTGCAATTTCACATAATAAGGGAGTCGGACATTGAAAGTTGGAGTTTTCACGGGAAGAAATATGGGTATCGTTGGGTATATGAGAAGGACTTAGAAGAATCAAACTTGACAATGATATGCAGCCGGTGAGCTTGGAAGCACAACTTTTTGGCAATTGAAGAAAACAAATAGCAACTTCATTTCAGCTTCACTTTCATCATATAGAAGGATTGGAGGCATAATTCAATATGGATGCAAGATTTGCAGCATTACACCAAACAAAGATGCACAGTAGAATTCAAATTCACAATGACTTCAGGGATGTGCAGTCCAATCTTTTCTATGAAAGCTCTACTAATGTTAAAATTAGTGCTACTTTGTTTGAATAAACTCATGATAGAAGAAATGATCATGTTCATGGTATTCTATTTTTAATTAAAAATATAATGTAGCTCTTTTGTCGCTAACATAATTTCCTAAATCCCTTTTGATTTTTTAATTTGTCCTTGCATATTATTTGGTTTCTAAATTTATGAATCTCACTGCAAGTAAATTCTTGTGTTAACTCTATTTGACCAATTTTACTTGTGACTCTTAGGTGGAACTTAACATTTTCATGAGTGTCCTTTCACTCAACTTATTAAGATGACTCTTGGCAAATGGAGAACGGATGCTCCAAATTCTCATTGGAAAACAGAATCAAGTTGTTGCATAATCAATTTCCACCTCTTGAACCTGTAGGATCCTTCTGTTGGTAATCACATGATTCTTTTTCTTTTGATTGTAATGTTTTCCAGAGGTTAATTGATACAATTTCTAATCTTTTTTATATTGACATATAATATTATTATACTTCTGTTGGTTGGCATAGAGTTGTATAATGAACCAATCATGTTTTATTTAACTTATATAAGTTATATTACTCATGATAGCAATTTAAAAAAACGATTCCCGTAGGCCTGTATTGGTCAATGTAATAATGAGGACATCAAACAAAGGAATAAGATTGTAGACTAATTGGAAAGAAAATGAGGGAAAATATATTTGAAGTTTGACTTGCCTTTTATGCATTTAAGTCTTATATACTTGAAACAAATAGAATCTATTTCATATTTTGATCCAAACAGTCATTGTCCTGTCCTCTGATTTTTGAGGGATTGACTAGATTCAAGGATTTTGATTCATAACAAAAGAATGGAAAAACCAAATGCATTATTTGCTACAGTGTTTTGAAAACTAAATTGAAGATTGAACAGACAAGGCAAATGCTTCTGGAAAATATTTTGATGCTTGAAGTTGCCATATATTTTTCTTTTCTTCTTTGATGTGTTGTGTACTTAACAAAAATTCAATCTGTTGCAGATTTTGATCCAGGCAGATTTTCCCCTGTGGTCTAACATGTGAGGGCTTTACAGTTTCAAAGAAAAGTAAAAACAAAAAAGAATGAAGTGACATTGCCCAACACTCTCTCTGCTGCAACATTATGAGAACAGGATGAAAGACTGACAAGAAGACCACTATATCAATGTTTGTTTGATTCATTAAGTTAAATTTATGACTAAATTGTAATTTGATTATTATATTGACGTAGTGGCAGCTGGTCTCTCTCTACTCTTGTTTACAAAATGTAATTTCACATAAACCTTCTTTAACAACATAGAGGAACAAGAACAAACGGAGTACAAAAACTGTTTTTATTATAAATTACAATTTCAAATATTTTCTTATTCTGTTTTTAATCTGTAACATCTATATTTAACAAAAATAATATATATGCTTCAGATTTTTAATTCAAATATTTTTTTCCAATTTTTATTATTTTATTAGTACCTAAATAATTTTATTTGTATTAAGTTAAATATTTTTGTTTTAACTAAAAAAAAATACATAAATGTTTTGAATACAAGAATACAAATCCGTATCATATTCTTTGATTTTCTTTGAAGTTAATAACTTCTAATTTCTTCCGTAGCATTTGTTGATGACTGTGAAATTGATAGAAGTATATTAAAATTGATAGAATAAATGTCTTTTATCCTTTTCGAAGACAATCATATAAAAATTGATAGAAGTATATTAAACTATTGTTGGCTATTGAAAATTTTCTAATTGTCAAAATAAAATATTTTAAAGTCTTTACAATTTTTTATTTAATTTATAAATTTCTTTAAAAGTTGTTTGTGTTTAGGAAAAAAGTAAATTGTATAGACAAATAATGTTTGTTTGTTAATTTATTCATAATTTATTTTTAGCTTTACTAAATGAGGGGTGGGCTAGTTTTAGTATTTAAACACTTGTAGCATTTTTAATGTGTGTAAAACTAAGTTCATAACTCAAATATATCAAATCAGTTTTTTACCTGTTTCGTATGTGGGAATTTGCAGATTTTTAATCTCACCTGTTATATTATTTTAATCATACACCTATCTTCTATGTTCTGTTTCCAATAACTATCAATAGTTAAATATATTCAAAGCATAGAGTTTACAGTATATTTTTCTAATGCATTCAAGTCTTTCGTATTTTGATCCAAAAGATCATTGCTCTATGCTCTGATATTTGATGGCTTTCAAGGATTTTGATTCATAACGAACGAATAGGAAAAAAAAATACATTACCGAACACTATTTGCTTCAATTTTGGAAACTAAATTGAAGATTGGACCTGTTTCGTATGTGGGAATTTGCAGATTTTTAATCTCACCTGTTATATTATTTTAATCATACACCTATCTTCTATGTTCTGTTTCCAATAACTATCAATAGTAAAATATATTCAAAGCATAGAGTTTACAGTATATTTTTCTAATGCATTCAAGTCTTTCGTATTTTGATCCAAAAGATCATTGCTCTATGCTCTGATATTTGATGGCTTTCAAGGATTTTGATTCATAACGAACGAATAGGAAAAAAAAATACATTACCGAACACTATTTGCTTCAATTTTGGAAACTAAATTGAAGATTGAATAGACAAAGCAAATGCATTCGCTATATTTTGAATCTGTTGCAGATTTTGATCCGAACACAAGTACACTTTTTGCTCTCTTCACGAACTGACTTGCACTCAAAAACTTATTTACCACTATGGCCAATCATAACACTTCCTTTTGACGTGAGATTAAATATTTTCGATTGCACAAAATTAGTTGAGAGGGAACACTGCTCTAGCATGATTTTGTCATGGATGATAAAATTTGTTCAGGTGTGTAGCTCCTTCCTTTTTCTATTGTGTGTAGGAACCAGGAATTAACATATAGCTGTCTGTGGTACTAGTGTGCATCACCTAAACATATAATTTGTGTATTGTGCAGAACATAATCTGTTTAGGTCGAAGCCTTTCAAGTATTATTTCAGGAAGAGAAATACCAAGGTGGTTCAACAATCAGCATGTGGGCATGGGAAGTTTCATAAGCTAGACATATCAGAACTTATGCAGCATGACAATAATTGCATTGGCTTTGTGTGTTGTGTAGTGTTCACAATTCGTTCTGGTTGGGAACAGCTTTGGGGATGAGTCCTCCGAAACAACCAATTTTTGTTCAGGTGGATCTCAATGCATGTCAAGTCACTGACGAATCAGATCACATGTGGTTATTCTTTTACACTCCACTACCATTCCAAATCGGTATAAATACAAAATTGTTAATAAGTGAAGACCATTGTGTAAAATTTGATGTTGAGGTGAAGAAATATGTGTATTGTTGGGTATATGAACAGAATCCAACACTATCAAACTTAACAAAGTTGCATAGCAGGAATTCTTTGGTTTGGAAGCACAACTTTTTGGCAATAAGCAACTTCATTTCAGCTACACTTATATCAAAATCAAGAATCGGAGGCATTGTAGGTTGAATATGGAGATCAAACAAAAAAATGCTTTTATTTGGGATAGGGATTCGAATCTTCTTTTTTCTAGCTGCAATATTGTTAATGTCAGTTCCACTCTATTTGAATAAGGTGAGAAGAAATGCCGATAGTCTTTGCAATTATTACTTTCCAAATTCAAACTAGCTATTTTGTCCTTGACATTAGTGCTTACCTGCCATTTAATTTTTTAATTTCTCTTCGATTATCATTTGGTTTCTAAATTTATAAATCTCACTAAGTCAATGCTTGTGTTACTAGCATTGACCAATTTAATTGTGAGTCCAATGTGTGGCAGTTAACATTCCCATGTCTCAAGTTAACTACCATGTTCTAAGTAATTAACATTAAATTTTACGTGAGGATGGTACAATATTCTATCCAGTTAATGAATTTGATGTCAAGTATGATTTTATTGTATCTAAATCAATATATTAACTTAATTATGATCTTTAATTCTGTTAGTGTGGAGTTCTATAATGTACCAATCATGTTTTATTCAAGTCATGTTATTTATGACAACATGAAGAGAAGTTGATAAAAATGATTCCCTGATCAGGAAATCTAATAATCAGGACATAAAACCGTGGAACAAGGTTTCAGATTAAGCAGAAAGAAAGTGAGGAAAAATAGTTTTGTTGCATTGAGTCATGATATCTTCATTTTCTGCTGCTTTCATGTCTTATACTTAAAACAAATAGAACGTGGTTCAGTTATTGATCCAACCAGCCTTTGCCTGGTCCTCTGACATTTGAGGGCTTGACTAGTCTCAAGGATTTGGATTCATAAGAACAGTAACAGATCACTGACATTACCGTGCAATGTTTTGAAAACTAGATTGAATATTGAATAGGCAAGACAAAAAATGGTTTTGTAATATATTTTTATAAGGAGAGTTACTTGGTATATATTTTTCTTCTTCTTCTTCCGTTTCCTATGTACTTAACACAAATTGAATCTTTCAGATTTTGATTGGGAGAGTTATTCCCCTGTCCTCTAACATGTGAGAACTTGACTAGTTTCAACAATATCAGAACAGAAAAATCAGAGTAAGCTCTATCAGCCGATGAGATTTCTGGATTATGGTTTGATTAGTTCAATCGGTTAAGCCCTCTTTGAGTCATTAAGAAGTTGTTTATATCTTTAACAACACAGAGGAACAGGATCAGGCAGAAGAGAAATGGGTTAATCACATGCCTAAGCAATACTCTTTGGTTTTGTATTTTCCTTACAATACTCTGATTTCGTAGGTCGGACATTTTTTGGTGTTGGGTTTAGAGTTTTAAGCACTTCTATCATTATTTTAAAACTATTTTGGTTTTCTTTTCATTATGTTACGCCAACCTACTAGCTACAATAACATACCCCGATAATACTTTTTGATTTTCTTTGAAGTTAATAACTTTTAATTTCTTGGCATATTTTTTTTAGTGTGATTGTGTGAAATTTCACTGATTTCCCTTAAAGTTTCCAACATCTAATTTCTTTCCGTACATTCGGGGATATATGTTGGAAATATGTCTAAATATTTTTAGGAGAATAAATTAGTTTTGAGAAAAAAAAATTATTTATGTTTTAAATATTTAGATTTAATCTATTTTGATTATTTTAGAGTTTGTTTTCTTAATTTTATAATAAAAATAATTAATTTTGTATTACAACTTTTTTCTATAAATAGAGACTTTATGAATAAAATTAGATTATACTCATCTGATAAAAAATATATCTTTAAATAATACAAATATAAAATAATTCATCATTGGTATTTAGAGTCAAGCTTACAACCTGTGGAGATGGATGTCAAAATAAACTTTTCACAAATTTCCCTACCTATCTTTGATGGAGAAAGTTATGATCTTTGGGCGATGAGAATAGAAGCATACCTAGAGGTTTTAAATTTTTGGGAAGTCGAAGAAGATTATGATGCTTTCGTGTTGCCAGACAATCCTATTGTAGCTCAAATAAAAATTTACAAAGAATGGAAAATCAAGAAGTTACTCTCTTTGCCTGTTTCTCACAAAATGTTTTCATCATGACCATGACTCTCAAATTGCCAAAAATAATATAATTTGGGATTACTTGGAGGAAGAATATGCTGGAGATGAAATAATTTGAAGCATGCAAGGGTTGAATTTAATGTGAGAATCTGAGTTACAAAGAATGAAGGATATTGAGACAATCAAACAATACTCAAACAAATTGTTTGACATTGCTAATAAGGTATGATTACTAGAAACACAATTTCATAATTCTAGAATTGTTAAAAAAAATTCTAGTAATTATAACCAAAAGATATGAAACTTCAATAATGGCCTTGGAGAATACAAAGGATTTGAGTAAGATCACTTTGGTAAAGTAGTTGCATGCATTGCAAGCATTATAATAGGAAGCTTATGAGACAAGAAGGAACTATGGAGGGTGTATGTTTAGCCAAATGGAAGAACAATAATGGTGGCAAAAATAAGAAGGAATTCCAAGAGAAAAACCAAAATAATAATACTCAAATTTTTCCACCATGTCTTTGTTACAAAAAGTCTAGTCATCCACAACATAGGAGACCTGACACAAAATGTTACGAGTGCAAACAATATTAGGATGCTAGCCTAAAATATATATGCAAATCTAATGGGCAACAAGAAGAAGCCAACATTGCTGGAAATCAACAAGAAAAGGAAGAAGAACAACTACTCTTAATGTCATGCTTTATACGTTCCTGATATTAATCAAAATTTGTCGAGTGTTTCTTAGTTGTTGGAAAAGGCTATAAAGTGTTATTTGATTATAAAAATTGTGTGATTAAAGATATAAATAATAAAAAAGTGTTCAATATTCATATGAA